TCATTTTCAGTCACGTGTATCCAATCAGCTCTGACTCATACTGATAAGTTCCTTAGGGATGTTCACTTAAGTCAAGTTTGCACCAAATAAACCATTATATATGATTTATTAAGTCTATTTTTTATTCCGCTAAATGATAAAACTCAAAATTAGGCGTTACGTCTAATAATTATTTATATGTCTCGATTTAGTAAAATTATTAATCAATATATTAATACATTAATCGAAGAAAACAAACCAAGAAATACGGTTAACAGTAAAAAATATATATATCGTGCACCCGGAAGAGGGCGACATCTCAAAATCACTCATTTTTCAGAAGAAGCCTATCAAGATTATGTCTCTTATATTTTTGTTGATATTTCTTTTTTGGAATGCTTGGTTAATATTTTTTTTGACTTTGTTACAGACTTTGTGCGTCTACTAAAATGTAAAATTTATTTTTTGCCATTGCTTAAGATCAATATAAAATAGAGAAAGTTACTTCTATATTTATTATGGCAAATAAAGGGTTTTTTTTTTAAAAACATTCAAAATTTCAACTAAATTTCAAAAACAAACGTGTCAAAAAAATTAATATCATTTATTACTTCAAGTATAAAAAAACCAAAAAACAATTTAATATTTGCTAACATTGCAGTCCAAACTATCGTTGTCAGATAAACAACTAACTAGCATTTATCATACAGCAAAAAAAAATAAGAATGGACTGAGTATTTTCCAAAATAAATAAACTAATGCATGTTTGAAGAAATACACTCTCTTTTCAGTTGAACACTCCTGTAATCTTCAAATATTTTCACCCTTTTATTTTTAGGTATTTTTTCAAAACATTTATTAGTACATGGGAGTTTAAGGGGTCTTGCTAGGCGTTCTTTTTTTATTTTTTCTTTGATTACTACCATATTCTCTTATTATAACACTTAAATACTGTAGCTTCACCTGTATTTCTTAACGTTTTTCTTACTTTCTTTTGCCATAGTTCAGGATTTAATTTTCGTTTTTTAGTGTTTTTTTCAACTAATGAAGAAGGATTTTGTACTTTTCTCTTTCTAGCCGTTTCTTCAGCAAACACTTCATTTTCAATGCCTGATTCACCTTTTAATTGGTATGTAGGATCACCTACGCTATCATCGCTGCCATAACATAGATAAGAACTTTGAACTGGACAACGAATTGGATGAAGAGGATGTACTAGACTAGGATGAAGAGCTGCGCACTGTATATGCCGGCCCTTTGAAGAAAAAAGTTAATATAGACCATCATTATAATTGGAGGCAGACAATTATTGGGCCATTATTTTCTTTCTCAGACCAAAATGTTTGTTAAGGACAGCGTCTCCTAGGAATTTCTGAACAAAATTATGTCAATTTAGATTCAATCAAGGAGGTGCTGTTACCTACCGACTAGAGATTGAATTAGTGCAAATTATTACAGAAATCTTTAAGTAACTATAAATATCGACCGACTAGCTATTAGGGGATATTGTATTATATTGTATTATAAATCGGTTTTTAGTAGACTGAGTTCGAAGGATCATAATAATAGTCCTGAACATAAAATCTATTTTTCAATAATTGCCGGGATTTTACCAAATAAAAAAAATTATTTCGTGATTGTGAAAACGGTCCAATCGTTTTATATGCCATTTATAATATTATAAAAATGTTAACTCTAGGACTCATTTTGGAGTATGAGCATACTTTATTTCAATACTTTTATTGTACTGTTTCATAAAGTATTACCTACCTATTACATTTTATTTTTATCGAAAATTGACTTTGTTTCCTGGACCAAAGTAAAGAATGTAGATGCAGATGGTAACAACAAAAACGATATCTTGCCTCACATTAAATATAAATATTTCCTAAAACAAATAATTTGGTTTATATACGGGTAGTAATACGAGGGATGTTTATAATTTCAAGTCACGAATATAGAGTAGTTTCAAAATATATTGCCACAATAATTGCGTCACATTGAGTCGGAGTGGGACGCTTGACGTGTCGCAATTCGCAATATATTTTAAAACTAATTAATAAATTGTGATTTTGAAGTATCGAATGAAAACTATATTCTCATTGGTTAAAGATGGAAGTTTTTGTCATTTGAATGTTCAAGAATATTAATTGTGATTAATTGGTTAAATACCGAAGTTATCTGTTATCTGATGTTGGTACTAACCTAATGTTTTTGGGTAATTTTGACTGTCATTTCCTGGAATTTCCAGGCCCGCATAAATATTTATCCTATTAAAGTACAAAAACCCTACAATAGATATTATGAGTAGGTATTTAACATTCATTTATCTTATCTTATCTTAGGTAGTTATTTCCTAGAAACATGTCCCTGATTGTCAATAACACATTACCGTATATCTGTGCCAATATGACGTCACGACTTTTAATATACTTAATGAAGGCTGGGGGAAGGAGTTAAGAGTCTATAAATTTACAAACAAGCTTACGGGTATTTAGTTTTCAAAATTACATCACACGTTTCTGAAGTGTTTTATTGTGCTGTTTGTTTTTAATAAGTGTTATTTTCTTTAATAGAAAATTGATTTATTTGTGCCAAGTGTCCTAGTGAGTTTCATTGTACATTTTAATCAGTTTTATTTTTGGATAAATTGACATCGACTTCCTGCATTAAAGGTAGGTAGTATTTTTTTTCTATCACTCTCGAGTTCGTCATTGAATAAAAAAATTAAACGCTATAATTTTAACATTCAAATATTTGCAATTAAAAAATAATATTACGTATTAAATTTGACAATAAAAAAACTTGTTATTTAATAATAATGTTTCATTATTCTGAATATATTTTTTCTACGATCAATATCCAAAGTAGGTAGGCTTTTGCACATTAAAATCTAAATAAAAAGTTGACGTTTTCTGCGAATTGTCATAATTTGACATCATTGGCGCACATTACCTAATATTCAAACCCATTTCCACGCTTAAAAATAGAAGATGATATTAATATTTTTTTTATGTTTGATTTTCTAATAATGATTTTATATACTTTTAGATTCAAGGACAGCTAGGTATAGCTCAAAGAAAATTGTGCTACTTTGTAGTATATACTGGAGATGAAAATCCAATATTTGTTGAAAAAATTCATATTCAACCCATTTTTTTTTTAAATATGGTTGAAAAATTAGAAAAATTTTACTCGGAATATATGGCACCTGAGATAATTTTAAATAGAAGAGGACGAGGATTAAAATGTCTAGATACCCCATATAATGAAACTTAAAGTGCAAAGATTAGCAAATTTATAAAAATAATAATTTAATGGACTTTAATGATACAAGTACTTGAAATAATGGTTTTTTTTGCGCAGAAGCATGTTCATACGTAATTTGCAATTGGTAATCACTAATCACAGATGGAAAAGTATATACGTCAACGATATGTTCTCTTATTTTTGATTTATTTTAACAGGTATAATATATGGTATGTTACTTATAGTATAGATTTTTTTATTTCTCGACCTAATTTATTTGTTACGTCTTCAGCAATTGTCGCTTTCAGTTGACATAAACGAAATTGATAAAAAGTGTTTTTCGCATTTTATTTTGACTGTTTCTCTTACTTTCGAATAGAAACTGAGCTTTGTAAACATAAAATGACGGATATGTCAAACTAAAACTGACGGTAAAATGAAACATTGAGTATCGTTAAATGCAACTTTTGAACTAGTTTCAAAAATAGCATTAAAATGATATTATCATTCACAATGTACTAATTTCCTATACTTTTAGTTGATAAATAACCGATAATCATACATCATATAACAAATAGGCGCGTGTCAAAAGGTCACCGGCGAAAAAAGAGTGCCGATGAAAAAAGGTTGTTTCCAATTGTATCATATAAACAGTATCAGAGGCAGTATTATCATCTCGTATATCCCCCGTAAACACACATAATATAAACGGAAATAATCAAATACTAGTCAAAATATTATCGATCGGAGCACCATCTTTATTACATTACATGAAGTAATTATTGATTTTTCGGGGTTGATTTAGAGTTAAATTAGACGCCATTTTTGGTCCAAATTCGTTTTGACATGTTTTTTCAAAGAAAGTGACATAAATTTCAAATCTACACGTTTTGAAAAATATACAATATTTAAATATTCTGAGTGTACCAAATTCCAAGTAAAAGTTGAACTTAGGTCGTATTACATTTTTTTTTTTATTATTTGTTTGACATCGAGGTTAAAATAATTCTACACGGCACCTTTGAGATGAAATAAAAGGGGGTTATTTTACATGATCGGTTTTTATTGAAAATAATAAATTTATTAATTTTCAATAGTAAGGTGACCTAAGTTAGACCTTTATTTTTAATTTGGCCAAAAATTAGATTTTTAAACACTACATATTCGGAAAACTGTCGATTTAACTTTTGGTCTACACATACACTTTTAGTACACAGGGATACCCCGTCCTTAAGTAATTTTGAAAGTTTCAGTTTGAAAATTATAAAACATCAAAATATTTAAGTTTAATAATTTATAAACCTTTTCTGTAATAGATTTTCTGTAAATTTATGGAGTAAAAAATAATATCCACTTGTGTTATCGTAAATTGATTATATTTTAAATCTGATTTTTTTCAATACTTTCTGGACAACTTAACTAATACTCAGAATAGTGTCAAATTTATGATAAAAATACTTAGTTTATTACTGAAAATTGACAACGTTGCAGATGTAAAGATTCAGCGACTAATATTTTAAGTTCTAAATTATTGACAATTAGGTTTTAGTACTTCTTGTATAATTTAGTATCGCGCCTTTCAAAAGTATCCCCCCGTAGACTACGCAACGAGTCGCCACTGATTATCCTGTAAAACATCCCGGAAACGAATTGCGCCTCCTCTCGGTCGCGTTCTACTGCAACGCGCCAAAATTCAAACACACGAATGATCCCGACCTAGCTCGATTCAGCAAACTTCACCGGCAATCAGCACAGTACGCGCCAAACCGCAGTCAAATTCATAGGTATTTCGCGACATAAAAAATTCGAAATTTCCAAAGTGTCAGTTAAACAGTGAAAAAAAATTGTATATTTTCAAAATGGTTAAAGCTCCTGCAATCGGTATAGATCTGGGCACCACTTACTCCTGCGTGGGAGTGTGGCAGGGCGGAAAAGTGGAGATAATCGCTAATGATCAGGGTAATAGGACCACTCCGAGTTATGTGGCTTTCACGGATACAGAAAGATTAATCGGCGATGCCGCCAAAAATCAAGTGGCGATGAATCCCAACAATACTGTTTTTGATGCTAAAAGGTTGATAGGAAGACGATTCGATGATTCCAAGATTCAGCAGGATTTGAAGCATTGGCCTTTTAAGGTTGTCAATGATAATGGAAAGCCGAAGATTCAGGTACATTTTAAAGGTAAGTTTAACACTTCTTATTATCTAAACTATTCAAATGAGCAGTTGCAAACCACTTTATTATTTTTTTTAAATCATCATAATGCATGTCTTACTGCAGATACTAAATTTGAAATAATTTTACGAATTTATAAATTTATTTGCGGTTTTTAGTAAAATATGGTAGGTAAAATAAATGAGATATTGCGGCTACGGTGTATATTTTTTTCAATCAACTTATAATTTTGTTCTTCGAGTTTTATTGATTTCAATAAAAAAAATGTACCTATACTATCCGAGGGTCCAGTTCGCTTTAAGTACGTATAAATGGTAAATATTTGAATTGAATCACACGAGCGTGGAAAATCACTCTTCGCACAAGTGATGTACAATATTTTTCCTACGACCACAAAATAATTTCATAAAAACGTAAAACCAGGTTATTATTACTAATAATCAACAATAATCGTATTTATTCAATTTTCATATTTTCTAAACAAAAAAAACTGATTTGAACGCGGTCGTACTAGGTCTCAAATGGCAAAGTTCGACGTTCTAACCATCTGAGCTAATAGCCCTTACGTAAATTGAATGATCTAATCGGTTATGTATTTAACCAGAATAAAGAACAAACATAATATCTTAGTTAATTTAAAATTATTTTAATATTAATTGTTAAAGATAAATATCTAGGATCTAATTTACAACAATTTCAATAATTTAACAATCATATCGATTTTAGTATTAATATGGACATTACATAGATCAAAATAGAAATTATGTGTTTGACATTTTGTGACAGCTACTGCGGAAAAGAGCATATTCGTACACGGGTGGAAAGTAAATTCTTATTCATACGCCTGTGATATAGGGCACTTTCCATAGGACTATATAGTGTGATATGTGTCACTTTCCTAAGTGGTCGTAGGAGTTTTTTTTATGTATTAAGGTTCATTTATATCCGTCATGTTCTCATTACAAATGCGCGGTGTTGCCAAGTGAAAAATTAATATCAAAGAAAAATAAATAGGGTAAACCGTCCAGTTAATGACCACTTTAAGCAACTGTAATATACAGGGTGTACCAATAAAAGCTCTCAGGCAGGATATTTTGGTAAGTATTAAAGATATTTTACGTCCAGTTAATGACCACTTTAAGCAACTGTAATATACAGGGTGTACCAATAAAAGCTCTCAGGCCGGATATTTTGGTAAGTATTAGAGATATTTTATTTTTGTAAAAGCCAGTTCATAGAGCGCTAAGAGAGCTTCAGTTTTAGATACAAAATGATTTTAAATAGGTCAATATGTAGATGGCGCTGCGCTCAATATTTTTTTTTTTTTTCGATGGGAGGATCTTTCTTATATAGCGCATCTTGTAAAAAATGCATTTTTAAGCAGATTTTGTTTTATAAACTAATTCGATAAATCTAGCCATTTTTGATATACAGAGTGGGTCACTCAAAACAGTTTCATCCTGTTTTTCGGCATTATTCATTGGATTTTAATAAAATGCTTAAACAGTTAGATTTTTATTGCAAATTAAAAACATTTTTACAATACAGACATCTGTCATGTGTCACACCCGCCTCCCTTGCACTTCACCAACACCTTAATTTTAAAAAAGGAATGTACCATGTATTGCACATCATTGAAAAGGTAATTTTGTGGGGAAGTCATAAATATGACTGTTTATTGAGATACTTTTAATTTTAGCGCCCTCTATCGGGATAAAAAAACCTGTAACGTATTATAAAGTGTGACACTTCATTTGAAAGCTAATTTATTTACTAATTCAATGCACCACATATCATTATAAATATTTTCATATTGCACTCGCAACAAAATAAAGTTAGCAATAATAGTGTTTAAAATAATGCATGACTAATTTTCAAACTATTGCAAGTGCAATATGGAGGATATTTATATTTATGTTATGTAGTGCATTAAATTAATAATTGAATTTGTTTTCAAATAAGGTGTCACACTTTATTAATACAGTTTTTTTATCCCGATAGAGGGCGGTACAATTAAAAGTATCGCAATGAACAATCATATTTATAAATTCCATGTTCCTCATAAACTTACCTTCTTAATGATGTACTACACATTGTAGTGTCACACTCTATATTACGTAATAGTTTTTTTTCCGCTAGAGGGCGATAAAATTAAAGTAACGCAATGTACAGAAATATTTCTGAATTCCATATTAAATTACCTTTTCAATGATGTGCCACACATGGTACATTACCTATTTACAATTATTAAGGTGTTGGTGAAGTGCAAGGGAGGGGGTTGACACATGACATGTATTGTAAAAATGTTTTTAATTTGGAATAAAAATCGACCTGTTTTAGCATTTTCTTAAAATTCAATGATGAAAAACAGGATGAAACTGTTTTGAGTGACCCACTCTGTATATCAAAAATGGCTAGATTTATCGAATTAGTTCATAGAACAAAATCTGCTTAGAAATACATTTTTTACAAGATGCGCTGCATAAGAAAGATCCTCCCATCGAAAAAAAATTATTGAGCGCAGAGCCATCTATCGTATGTATTGACCCATTTAAAATTAAATTATATCTAAAATTAAAGCTCTCTTAGTGCTCTGTGAACTGGCTTTTGCAGAATTAAAATATCTCTATTACTTACCAAAATATCCGGCCTGGGAGTTTTTATTGGTACACCCTGTATACATATTTGTAAAAATATTTGTTTTGTTTTTAAAAGAACAAGCAAGGAATAGCTAGATGAATTGTTTGCTGATTTAACTTTTTTAACATAAAAATGTAAACATGTTTATTTGTTTAAAATATTCGATAATTTTTAAGATATATTGCATAAAATCATAGTATAGAGAAAGTAAAAGTTGAAAAGTCTTTTGGTAGGTAGAGAGGGAGTAAACGTCAAACCACGTCGGGCGGCTCCGAGAATTTCACAGTAATGTTTACCTGCCAGTGTCGTTTCATAGAATAAGTAATTTTAAATTGTTATCGGCGGAACCGGACAATCGCATGTATTTATGGATTATAAATAATTATTAAACATGTATTATAATATTCAAATTATAATTTTACAAAATTTCAACAGCTATTCACAATTTATTAAACTATTTACTCGAAATTGTTATTAACATCTATAAAATAATTTTGTACGCCAATGTATCGCGTCCACATCGGTGAGATCCGCTGCCAACCTGTCAATTTATGGGAGAACTGGCAAAAGCATTTCCAACTTTTACTTCTGTTCTAAATGACCAGTTCCTTTTAGTGCAGGGCATAGTGGCGCATTCGTTTGCAAAATTGTTTTAAATCGTAATTACCACGTCTACCCGTTTCAGTGTCCAGGACCAGGAGAGAGCGCCGAGAGCGGGGACTTGACGTTCGACCAGCCGAACGCTATGAAGTAATAGGCCTTATGCCCTTTAAAGACATTCTTTATTTTGTTCCTTAATTAATTACATTTCAAACATTGTTTACGAGATATTTAATAAAACGTTATAAAACCATGTTAACACGTGTTTTATGAAGTGGCTATACAGGGTGTTATAGTTTACAGGGTGCTAAATCATTTAAAAACAATAATTTTGAAGTTAATTCTTTTAACTTCTAACAATACCTTAAAATTTAAAATGCTATAATTTTAAATTTTTTACCGAATATTCAAACTATAATAAACAAAATAACCTAAATAAATTTTCAAAATTTTGTTTGTTGTTATGTTTTTTTTTACGTTATAACAACATGCTTTCTACGCGCGTGTACTTTTAGAGAGAAGTACTTCTATCTCACTTCCAACTCAATGTATAAGATCGGTAAGAGAAAGCCCGATGACGCGCTAAATCAATTTTTGCTGTTTTTCAGCGGTAATAAGTTTAAAAAAATTATTATTAACATTTTTCATAACACTTTGTTATATTTGCCGATTAATAGTTTTGTATCATGTGATTTTTTTTACTTTTTTAGATACTTTTGATAACTTTTATTTATTAAAGTTAACAGTAACATTTATTTTTAACATTTTTATTCATGAAAAAATTATTGCCTGAGAGGTAAAATCTTCTTCAACCTTTTTTTTTTTAATACGATAAAAAGGCCATATGCACTTGTCGTGATCTTTAGATTTCTCTGGTTTTGGTTATGTTTTCTGTGATAACCAAATAAAGCCACTGTATTTAACAAAACCGCCATTACCTGAAGACTTAGCAAAACCGTGCAACTGTAAAAAAAATGTGCAACGAAAACTTGTTCATGTTAAAAACTAAACATGACGTGTGTGGCATTATGCGGATGTTTAATTGAATGTTGCCAAAATCAATTTCATGTAAAAACTAGTTAGATGTACAAACTATAATTTTATCTAAAAATTTTCTTAATAAATCAATTTTACTATTAAATAATCAGTGGAAAAGAATTAACAACCATAGAAAAAATTGAATACATATATATTGCGTACTCTGTTTTAAAATAAAAACCAGGTGAGTCAACTATGCTCATCGTAACAGGTAGAAATTTCCCTTGAATTACGGCAGGTATGTTTGTCTTCTTTTATCTTATTGGAAAAAAGTGAGAAAAATTTAGTTCTTAGACAGCTCTTGGCAATGATTTTTTTTTGTGAATGGAACATTTCTATTAACTTCAATGAATAAAAAAGTTATCGAAAGTATCTAAAAAAGTAAAAAAAATCACATGATACAAAACTATTAATCGGCAAATATAACAAAGTGTTATGAAAAATGTTAATAATATTTTTTTTAAACTTATTACCTCTGAAAAACAGCAAAAAAATTGATTCAGCGCGTCATCGGGCTTTCTCTTACCCATCTTATATATTGAGATGGAAGTGAGATAGAAGTACTTCTCTCTAAAAGTACACGCGCGTAGGAAGCATATTGTTATAACGTAAAAAATCTGATGTGTCTAACACATGACTTTCCTATCTAGTTATTATAGGCTTTTTCCGGTTATTTTGTACAACCTATTGCAGCATCTCTATAAATGTTTAGGTGATAAACTAAATATATACATTGTCCACATACATCTACCTCGAAACATTTTTCTATAGATATTCATTGAAAACGAAAATACTGAAAAATTTAAATTTAGCACTTTTCCATTACGGTCCATTTTAGAAAAATCATGTATAAACAAAAATTATAGAGATCGATATCGTAAACAACTTTTAGTTCAACAATTTTCATAAAAATCAGAATTTTGCACATTTTGTCAAATTTCTCGAATACGGACCATTTCAGGAAATTTTGACATAAAACAAAAATTATAGATAATAATATTAGAAGTAACTTTTATTTGAACAATTTTCTCCCCCAAACATAAATAACAGATATATTCAATAAAATATAAAAACAGCCTCCCATAAAGTACCCCCTAGATGTTCCGACTTTGTCCAAAATCTAATCATTTCACGTAAGGCCGAAATAAACCTTAAGTTTAAAATTTAATGTTAATGTGCTATAATAAATCCAAAAACTTGTTTTTTTATGTTTTATCTTTCTTTTTTTTTAATTCGATAAGTTCAAAGACGATATCAAATCAATTACAATGACTATCGGCAGCTGCCATTTAGCTGTCAACAATTCTTCAAAGTCCGGTAATAAAATAAAAAAATGATTTTTTGTTTATAACTTCAAGTTTTTTAGATAATTGAATATAAATATGATATAAAATTATGTAGTCATCAGCTTACAGCTGTCAACAAGCTGTCAACTAACTGTCAAAATGCAATAATAGAGCAAGTAACTCATTTTTTGTGCTTAACTTTGTGGATAAGAAATCAATCATGATATAAGTTTATGACATCACTTTTGAACTCAGTGATCTAAGCAACTTAAAGCTTTTTAAAACAAGTAATTTTTTGACTTTATTATTGCATTTTGACAGTTAGCTGATTGATAGGGGACAGCTGTAAGCCAAGAATTTCCAAATAGAAAAATACATTGATGCTTTTTGTCATTGTTAAAGTTTATTCCCAATTATTTTTGAATGTTGAAACTTGGCTTTTACTCTTTTAGTAATGCTTAAATTCCCTTTTCTACCGTCGCCATTAGCGTAATCCAATGTGCACCGCGGGGAGGTTAGACGATCGGATTTTGCACTGAGTTCAAAAGTGATGTCATAAACTTATATCATGTTTGATTTCTTATCCACAAAGTTAAGCACAAAAAATAAGTTACTTGCTCTATTATTGCATTTTGATAATTAGTTGACAGTTGTAAGCTGATGACTACATAATTTTATGTCATATTTATATTCACTTATCTAAAAAACTTGAAGTTATAAACAAAAAATAATTTTTTGACTTTATTACCGGACTTTGAAGAATTGTTGACAGCTAAATGACAGCTGCCGATAGTCATTGTTATTGATTTGATATCATCTTTGAACCTATCGAACTAAAAAAAAAGAAAGATAAAACATAAAAAAACAAGTTTTTGGCTTTATTATAGCACATTGACAGCTATTTGACAGCTGCCAACTGTCAATTTTGAAAATCTAACAACAGATCTGAATTCAGCAACCTCAAAAATATAAACCTAGATAATAAAAAAAATTAAATAGGCTATTTCAAAAGTCTATACACACTGCGCATATATATAAATACGTGGAGGATACTCGGAGCTTTAAAGCTCTGTACCGGTCAAACTATCCATTTTTGAGATTTGTGGCCATTGAGACAATTGACCAGTATGATGAACTCTATCACATATCAAAAATTCAGCGAATTTGACCGGGACCCAATTTCCATAAGATTTGTGCGGGGTCGTTTGATCTTGTTTCATGCAGTTTAGTCCAAATAACATAACAGTTTTACAACTCCAATACATATTTTTTACAAAATAAAAAACAGCTCTACTTACCTTAATTACTTATGGTTACTTGAGAAGGAAACAAAAACACATGCACTTTTAACTGACATTTGTAAACTGCCGATTATGAGCAGTGTTGTCAAATGTATAAAAAAAATTGAGAATTAGGTGAGGATCAATTTGCTGTATAATATGATGCCTTAGGTTATTAAAAATTTTTAATAAATCATAAATCAGTAATTGGTCATTTACTGGGACGTGGTCAATAACCGGACGGTTCACTATCCCACGGGAACTGTATTTTTTCCGGGATAAAAAATAGCCTATGTGCTATTTCAGACTATAACCTATCTTTGTGCCAAATTTCATCCAGATCCGTTCAGCCGTTCTTGCGTGATTGAGCAACAAACATCTATCCATGCAAACTTTCGCATTTATAAATTCAGCCATAAGAAAATACGTCACGTTGGCTCTAGGACTTGTACAAGATCGCAAATGGAAACTGTCAGAAGAATAAGCTGTCAAGTATAGTAGAATTATATTATAAAAAACGTCTTATCATGATTTATTAATATTTAATATTTAAAACTTTTGGTTTTAAAAGGTGAGATGAAAAGATTCGCTCCCGAAGAAGTCAGCTCCATGGTGTTGACGAAAATGAAAGAAGTAGCCGCCGCTTATTTGGGACGCGACATCAAAGACGCCGTCATCACCGTCCCAGCGTACTTCAACGATTCCCAAAGACAAGCCACAAAGGACGCCGGCACTATAGCAGGTTGGTACGAAACATCGATTATTTCCAAATACTTTCATTTGCGAGTCCTTGCATGTCCTTTTTTAAAAGCGGATTTGGGGTGGGCGGTGTATTGCATGGCGTAGGTCATGTATAAATGCATAATTATTTATGTTACGAACGTTTTAGATTCCTTTTTTGTTTGGCTGCATTGTTGGTGTTCATCGAGCCGTGTTTACTATTTAATCATCTAATTTTGTTGCTCTATAAACAGTTCATTGAATCAATTTGCGTTGATTGTTGTATTTTTAGTTTAGTTAATGCGTTAGCTGCACTTGGTTTAAAAAATCGCTTGCGTTGAGTAATTTTTACACATCAGTTCCAGTATAAGTAATAATAAAATAGCGATAATCGGTTCCTTTGATGTCGATTGGGTCCAGATTTTTATTGTCTGCTGACGTTTTTCTATACTGAGAAAAGTAATTGCAAAATAACTTTTCCCTTTGCCTACTTGATAAAAATATCATACAATAAATGAAAAAAGAGAACTTAGTAAAAATGTAACAAAAATATGCACTACATAGTCCAGTAACTGAAGACCTGAAAATATGCAAAGCTGTCATTAAGTCGGTCCAGATTTCCTTTGTGGCTCAATTCTTAGGTCTTGACGGTTGCTTTCAAGGGCGAAAACTTTTACCAACACTGCTGGGTCGGAAAGGGCACAAAATGGCTCCTAAAGTCCGAAAAAATGGTTTCCCGCTAATATCTGCCAAAATATACAAATTAGACAATTTTTGTTTAAATAAAAAATGAAGATCGTATCATTATCTACAAAAATGGTCCCTACCATTTTTTTCGCAAGACGATTATTTTTGCAAAAACGGCCTTCGAAAAAGCCCGAATTTTTGCACTGAATAGAAATGTTAGTTTCTCACTGAATTTCCGCTCGAGGGAGTTGGGAATACATGGACTTTGGAGACCAATTGTAGATGGCGCCAGCGGCGTACCTCTGCTCACTAAATTATGGGGCCTATGAATGGAAATCCGGGCACCAATCGATCTTTCGACAATTATTGGCGGATTCTACGGGATTTTTTCTGTAAAGTAATAATAATAATAATAATAATAATAATAATAATAAACTTTATTTGCAACTTCCAGTTTTTTATACATATAAAAACATTCAGAAAAAAAAGTGCCAAAGAAGGCTGCAAAAAGGACTGATGAACAGTGGATACTGATCAAAGCACCAGCCCTGAGTATTACCAACGCCACAGGACATCGTACAAAAAACAATATAAAAATAAACACAAATGATAGTGAGAAAAAAAAGTATAAACATTCTAAAAAGTAGCTATCACTCTGCTGTGTCAAGAAGAAACTTTTTGTAAAATTTTTTAAATTTACTTACAGACATTTCTTTAAAATGTTGTGGGATAACCTTGTACATTGCATAAATATTATAAGTGAAAGACCGTCTGAAAATAGCAGTATTATGTATTGGAGGTGAGATACGACCACAAAAACGTAGATTGAGGTTATGAACATCAGAACGATACATTATTTTATTAAAAAGATATGGAGGGGATTTATGTAAAATAACAGAATGAAACAAATTAGCCGAGTGTAAGTTTCGTCTGGATTGCATATCTAGCCAGTTTGAATCCTTGAGTTTATGAGAGACTCTATCAAATTTCCGTATTCCATAAGAAAATCTTAAACAAGATTTCTGTACTCTTTGAATTCTAATTATGTCTGCGTTATCTAAACAGGGCCCATAAACTGAATCACAAAAGTTAAAATTACTCAGAACCAGGGAATCTGTTAATAACAATTTTGTTGTAGTTGGAAGAACATGTCGATGTGGGTAAAGCATTTTTAAATTCATGTATGCTGTTTGGATGCACTTGTTAGCGTGAAGTTTAAACCTCAAGTCATTATCAATTACTAAACCTAAATTGCGAGCAGATGTGGAAAATGATAAAATATTCCCATCAACTAGAATCTGCATTTCATTTTGTAGTTGATGTCGGTATTTACCAAATAACATTACTACACTCTTAGCTGGATTAATATTAAGTTGATGAATATTTGAAAGTTTAACTAGTCTGTCAAGATCTTCATTAATATGATTATTAGCTTCTAAGGAATCATTATGATTAAAAGAAAATTTAACTTGATTATCGTCAGCATAAAAAAATGGCTTACCATTCCTAGTAGCGCTTGGGGTATCTCATCTATATTGCCGAATGTTCTGTGTAATTTGCGTTGCAAAATTTAATAGAAAAGTGCAAAAAAAATTTTTTTCATGTGGCAGTCTCAAATCCCGGCGCTTTGCCTAATAGTGGGTTACTAGTTTTAGAGTGTGATGAATATTGACCCGAGAAGACCCTTTATATTTTCTGCGTCTTTTGCAAAATTTTCTCCTGCAGGTTTCGTGCATCTTTATAGAGGATTGCTTCTTTATGAATAGGTGAAAATTATCGTCCCTTTCCTTGCTCACATCAATTAATTTTTGTAAGCCTCGAGTGACATTTACAACGTCATCCACAACTTCCTGGGCACAAAGGAAACATTTTGGAACGGAGTCCGCTTCCATTGCTGCAACAAGAGCTTTACAAAAATATATTATTAAAATGTAATAAGACTTACAACAAATTTTTTTTTTTTTTTTTTTTTTTTATTGTAATGGGATGGCATCAGACATGCAAGTCTATTTACCACAGAAAGTTTTAACTTAATAATTTTTGTATATATTATGTTAAATATCTATTTTAGTATTTTGAGTAAATTTAATAATAGCGTCAAAAATTATCTTATCTGATTGAACTAAAAGTGAAGAAATATTGAGTGGAAGTGGGAGTGAAAGTTTATTTAAATCTTGATACAATACGGTGGTATGTTGAGCATTTTTATTACAATCTAAAAATAAATGATTGATATCTGCTACAGCGTTTATATTGCAATATGGACAAAAGGGAGAATCCAATATTCCAATTTTACAAAAATGTGCAGGGAATCGGCCGTGATTGAGCTTCAAACGAGTAATTATAGATGACTGATATTTATTATAGTTCCATGAACTGATGTAAGGAATATTCTTAGGAAGATTTGGATGTATACTATAATAGTGACTTTGTGATGCCTTCGCATGCTCAGTGTATTTAATTTCCCATCTACTTCTTACATCTTTTTTATAAATGCTAATAATATCTATAAAACTACAAAATAATGTAATTTGTTCTAAACTACATGCTTCTTTAGCAGCCCTATCCACATGTTCATTTCCTGCAATGCCACAATGTCCTTTAACCCAAACCAAGGAAACTTTAACGCTACTCTGTTTAAGGTCAAATATAATTTTCTTAATCGATAATATTACCGCGTTTTTGTTTTGACTTATGGAAGGGCTATCAATAGCCTGCAGAACTGATTGGGAGTCAGACACTATAACTATATTCTGAAATGAATTTGCTTTGCACCAATCTAAGGCTTTTAGAATCGCCACTGCTTCAGCTGTGAATATAGAACAGAAGCAGGGTAATTTAAATGATTCTATATAATTAGTGTCTGAAACAAGAAATGCACAGCCAGTACCTAAACCATTTTTCGATCCATCTGTATAAATAGTAGTTAAATTATCTCCCAAATTACTGAGTACGGATTTAAAGATAGTTTTCGTAAGGCTTGCAATATCTGAGTATTTCGGAATAATAATGGTTGGTTTAGATATTAGAATTTTAAATTCAATTTCATATATGGGAAATTTCTGAAATTTTTCAATTTGGTTATTATATGGACTAGTATCAATAAAAGCATTTGCAAGAGGGGGAGAGTTCTTCTTTTCCCAGTATAAATTCGTTAAGTTCTCTACAGCTACAGTTGAAATTTTGGTGATCATAAAATTACTAAAAGACCTATACTTAATAACTTGTTTATTTGCTAAAAAATCTCTTCGAATGCACAGAGGCGGGTCCTGTGCCTCAGCAAGAATTGCATGATAAGGTGACGATACCATAGCCCCTAAACATATTTTTAAGGCTTTAAATTGAATTCGATCTATAGATAACAAATTTGAATTACACGTCGATCCATAAAGAGTACAACAAATTTATAGACTTTATTTTAAATCAGCCAAACCTTTTCTGTTCCCCACAAACGAAAAACAAATTCTTGAAAATTCAAGAATGACGTCGAATTTTTCACTTTAAAAACTTCTTTTTTTTTTAACAACTTAATTGATAATGATAAAATACTATCATTTCTAAAATACTATCAAAAATACCGACAATAACGACTCCAAAAACAACAGAGATTGTATACCAACAAAAGCAGACGATTAAGGTGAGCGTGTGGCGCGTGAGTACACGTGGTTAGGTTATGATGGAATATCATGGATCTCAGGCGGATAGCGTAAAAATGGGGGAGATAATTCTAACAAACAGTTAAGAACCACGCTCACATACGGGGATCAATTGATAGAAATGGAAAGTTGAAAATATCACCTTCACTTCGGTCTGGGTATTAAAGTTCAAAAAATGAACAGTGGGGAACAAGAAGTATTTAAAAAAAAAGTCCGGTTTTCCCCGGTGTGATCAATTTTCCAGATTTCTGGAAAATGAAGCAACTTTATTAAAAAAAAAAAAAAAAAAATACATTCGAAAAGTAGACACTCTAAGCTTTAAAATGGTGTGCATTGAATAACAATATAATGAAATATGAGTTTTTAATTACCGCTTGTTTCAAAGATTTCTAGAACTCCGAAAGCGTATGAAAAATACAAATAAACAAATCAATTTTGTTTTAAAACGCCAGGAAGGTACTGGAAAAAAATTTCTAAGATCATTCGAGACATCTCAAGATCCCATTTAAAATAAAAATGGGATAAAAAACTTTGACCCCTTTTTCAATGTTCTTGAAAGGAAATAACGGGCTTCAAGGCACATGGATCGATACCTATGGGTTTTCCCATTGTAATGAACTTTGAATCATCGAAAAATATCAATTTTTGACCGAATTTTGAAACAATTTGTCCACCCGTT